TAATACCTATAAAAATTTGAAAAAGTTTTAAAGGGGGGTATGATCAATGTAAAATTGGAAATAAAATATGAATCATTTGGAATATATATTTGATTTGAGACTGAAAAAGTTAATATGAAGCTGAAAGAAATATAAAACTTTTACAGAAAGGATTATTGCAAAACAAATTATGAGGCCTTAGTATATTGCATGGTACAAGTGCTAACTATTATTAAATGATTCATATACCAAGAATAAACAAAATTGGTTCATGGGTATTGCAGATCAATATATGTCAAACTATTGAGTTTTAAGCCATTAAAGTCATACTGCATTTATTTTTATGTATTTATAGGTTACTAATGAATATGTTGAAGAGAAATTAAGCCATACGCAAAGAAAGAAACAACTGTCTGTCGGAGAGAAACATTTTTAACTTTGACCTGCTAACCTTCATGGTGACAACTGTGAAACCTTTGGTGATGACGTTGTATAGAAGATAAACCTATCAGGGGACTTTTGAGAAAGATGATAATAGACATATGCAGAGCCGTCACCAGAAATTTTGGGGCCCCTGACAACGCCCCCACCCCCCCTTGCCCGGCCGACCTCCCCCCGCTATGAATGCAGTGTGTGTTTGTGTAATGAATGCAGTGTGTGTGTCACTGTAATTCATGCAGAGTGTGTGTCAGTGCAATGAATGCAGAGTGTGTGTCAGTGCAATGAATGCAGAGTGTGTGTGTGTCAGTGCAATGAATGCAGTGTGTGTGTCAGTGCAATGAATGCAGACTGTGTTAGTGTAATGAATACAGAGTGTGTGTTAGTGCAATGAATACAGAGTGTGTGTTAGTGCAATGAATGCAGTGTGTGTCAGTGTAGTGAATGCAGAGTGTGTGTCAGTGTAATGAATGTAGAGTGTGTGTCAGTGCAGTGAATGCAGAGTGTGTATTAGTGTAGTGAATGCAGAGTGTGTGTCAGTGTAGTGAATGTGTGTGTGTTAGTGTAGTGAATGCAGAGTGTGTGTCAGTGTAATGAATGCAGAGTGTGTGTCAGTGTAGTGAATGCAGAGTGTGTGTTAGTGTAATGAATGCAGAGTGTGTGTCAGTGTAATGAATGCAGTGTGTGTGTTAGTGTAATGAATGCAGAGTGTGTGTTAGTGTTGTGGATGCAGAGTGTGTGTTAGTGTAGTGGATGCAGTGTGTGTTAGTGTAGTGGATGCAGTGTGTGTGTTAGTGTTGTGGATGCAGTGTGTGTGTCAGTGTGGTGAATGCAGAGTGTGTGTCAGTGTAATGAATGCAGTGTGTGTCAGTGTAATGAATGCAGTGTGTGTGTTAGTGTAGTGAATGCAGAGTGTGTGTTAGTATAGTGGATGCAGTGTGTATGTTAGTATAGTGAATGCAGTGTGTGGAATAGTGTTGTGGATGCAGTGTGTGTATCAGTGTAGTGAATGCAGTGTGTGTCAGTGTAATTAATCCAGTGTGTGATAGTGCAGTGAATGCAGTGTGTGTGTTAGTTTAGTGAATGCAGTGTGTGTTAGTGTAATGAATGCAGTGTGTGTGTTAGTGCAGTGGATGCAGTGTGTGTGTTAGTGTAGTGAATGCAGTGTGTGTCAGTGTAATGAATGCAGTGTGTGTGTTAGTGCAGTGGATGCAGTGTGTGTGTTAGTGTAGTGAATGCAGTGTGTGTGTTTAGTAGTATGCATGTAAATGTAATAACTGTTATTCCCCCCTCCCTGTTTCTTACCTGGTTCAGGGAGGGGGGAAGATTCCATGATCCCTGGTGGTCCGGTGGCATGGTGGGGCCCCCCGGCTCCCTATACTTGCAGAGGGGGCCCAGCGGACTGCAGCTGTACTTTACAGTATTTCCCTCGCTCTAACTCCCATGAGATGTGGTGTGGTAACCTATGGCAATGCTTTAACGGCCGCACGTCTCGCGGGAGTTAGAGCAAGGGAAATGCTGTAAAGTCCTCTGGGCCCCCTCTGCAAGTATGGGGAAGTATAGGGATATAGGGCAAGTATAGGGATCATCGCTATATATAGGTGCAGAGAGTAATTGTGGGGCCCCGGACTGCTAAAGCAGTCCGGGCCCCCCAGGGTCTCCGGGCCCATGACAACCGTTATGGTTGTCACCCCCTGATGGCGGCCCTGGACATATGAATAATCTGACAAGGACAATTTCCCAGATGATATTAGAAAATTTGAGAAAAAGAAACAGTGATTGGTTATTTAATAGTAATATGTGTTTTAGGACAATCAAACATGGAATGTTTATATTATTATTAGAAAGGATGATGGTATTAAGTTAAATATTGCATTATGATTGAAAAACTTGTTTAGTTATATAAGAAATAGGACAAGATGAGGATAATCTTGGTTCATTGAAATTAAATATAATACAGAAGAGTTTATGGTTATTGACATTGGTATGAAGTTTTAACAAAAGGAGAATAGAAAATGATACTTTATACTGAAGCATTCTGCTTATATATTGATAGATCTAATAAGAAGAAATTAATTAATAGATTATTATATAGTACACAGTTTCCACCTGAGTCTATGATGGCATGGACTAGGGATGATAAGATCGATTATCTCGCGCTTGCAGGACTTCTCGAGGGTGGCTCCCTTCCTATGGAATAGCCTGCCTACCGCCATCAGACTCTCCTCTAGTCTTCAATTGTTTAAGAAGTGCCTTAAAACCCATTTCTTTAGGAAAGCCTATGGCCTCCCAGACTAACCTCTACTTCACATACCTGTCTCTTGCTCTCTCCTAAAGGGCAGCACTCTACTCTCTCCTCCAGCTCTGCTTCACTCCCACCTAATGCTATTTCCTGTCCTAATGTGTTTTGTACTCCACCTCCTATAGACTGTAAGCTCATTTGAGCAGGGCCCTCTTCAACCTATCGTTTCTGTAAGTTTTCTTGTAATTGTCATATTTAAAGTTAAATCCCCCCTCTAATAATATTGTAAAGCGCTACGGAATCTGTTGGAATCTGTTGGAATCTGTTGTAATGTACGGAATCATCTATATAAATGGTGATAATAATAATAATATATAAGATTTATTTCTGGATAACATTGATTTTTGGATAACATCGATTTCTGGATGTGGTATTATCCAATGTAACCTTTTTGTTTTTGTTCTCCTGAGTCTTTAATGCTTGGACTAGGAATGATACGATTCTGGGTGGGGGCCCTAATAAAACAATAAGGGGGGGGACCTACTGTCCTCCCCCCTGGCCCCCACCCCTGAGCATGGGTGGGGGCCCTAAATGAAACACCCCACCCCCCAATCAAGGTGACTAGGGGTCCCAAGCCCCTAGTCACCCCCCCCACCCAAAAAAAAAACTACCCCCTACCTACCCCCCCTCACCCTAAAAATAGTGAGGGGGGAATAAAATAACTAACCTGTAAAAAAAAATTAAACTTACCATTTGACGTCTTCTTTTTTCTAAAATCTTCT